GCCATTTGAATGTCTTCTTTGGTGAAGTGTCTGTTCATTTCCTTTGCCCATTTTTTAATAGGATTGTTTGTCTTTTTGTTGTACAGGTGTTGGATTTTCTTGTAGATTATGGAGATTAGACCTTTGTCTAAAAGCTCATTTTAAAGTTCCTTTCCTTTGCCCTTGAACTCCTGGGAGGAGAACCATTTTGGGGGCCTTTACACCAGTTTAGACCAAATCTTCCTTGGGATGCTTTCCACCAGCCACTGGCATGTGAGTCTTCCACAGGTTGAGGTGACCACCTTTACCTGTTACTTGCCTAGCTTACCTTTTGTACACCTTTACCTTTGGAACACCTCCCAACTCCTCTTGTACTACTCCCCTGCCCCAGTAGAAAAGGGAACTCTTTGAATCATTGGATAAGAAGCTTTTTGATGTTTGAAAACTTCTGAAACAAGAAACTTCCCCTTGACTTCAACTTTGGTTTCTTTCATCCCTTTCTCTACTGATGGACAGTTGGTCTGGTGATAGCTTCTCTGGCCTTTTCTGTAATTGCTGATTGTCTTGCTTCCAGTACAGATACCTTTAAAATTGTCTAATATTGCATGCAGTTTATATATACATGGGAAGCAGACAGAGTATAGGTTTTGGAGTCAAGAGTTCCTGCCTGTCTGATGAAGGACAGGCTTCTCACTACCTCATATGAAAAAAAATGGTGATAAAATATCTATCTCCTTGGACTTCTCTGAGAATAAAATCACAGCAGATTGCAAAGAGAGTTGAGGACACAGTTAAAATGGCTTCCCTGTAACACCTGCTCACATTGATATGCTTTCGTTCCCTGCTTCCTCCTCAGGTACCACTTGTATCCTGACCACCATGTGTCTGACATTTTCCTAGACTGCTTCAATGCCTCTGTTCACTTCCTGAAGACCTTGAAAACCTATGGGGTGGACCCCTCCCGGGTTCTAGTCTGTGGAGAAAGCATTGGAGGCACATGTGTGGCTTCTATCACCCAGACCTTGGTGGACAGGTGGGATCTTCCCCGGATCCGAGCTCAGGTCCTGATCTGTCCATTTCTCCAGGGGATCAATTTGCAGCTGCCATTCTTTCGGCAGTACCAAAACTTAACTGTTTCTCAGCCGGAAGTTCATGCTGACGTGTATGTGTAATTGTCTGCTCACTGACCTCTCCTGAAGGGACGCCATCTTGAGGGGTGAATTTATTCCCCCAGAATTCTGCACGAAGTACCGGAAGT